AAGACTAGAATTTTAATCGCTCTCTAAGTCTAAATGTATGGGAAGAGCGGCACTCAACTCATGGCCTATTTTGTCACAACAGGCGCCTAATATTCTACGGTTCATGATATCGACGGGCCCTCCCTTTGTATCCATTACAACACCTCCGGCCTCAGTGACGATAACAGCGCCGGCAGCCATATCCCACACGTGAAGACCAAACTCCCAGTAGGCATCAGCCGAGCCGTCGGCCACAGAGCACAGGTTGAGAGCGGCTGAACCCATACACCGGACGCCGTGAACGAGCCAACCGACGGCTTCCAGATTACGAAACACGGCGTTCTTCTTCTCGTCGTCCCTTTGGTTCCCGAACTCACACAACAGAAGCGCTTCCGACAGGGAATTGCAGTTTTTGCTGACAGATATGGGCCGACCGTTACAGTAAGCGCCCGATCCCTTGCGGGCCGTATAGAGTTTATCTAGAAATGGACTGTAGATCACACCCACAACAGGAACCTTATTGACGGTCAGACCGATGGAAACGCAAGTACAGGGAAAGGTGTGCACGAAATTCATGGTACCGTCGATCGGGTCTATAATCCAAGTCGGGTCTGCTGTGAGTCCGACCCGAGAGCTCGTCTCTTCGCCAATGAAGCGAAAGTCGGGAAACAATCGCTTCAATTCGTTGAATAAGAACTTTTCGACCGCTTTATCCGTTTCGGTGACCAAATCGGCGAACGAATCCTTTTCGGCGATCTCTTTGTTACGACCGGACGCCGCAGTCATCATAGCTCCGGCTTCGATGGCCAGACGGATAGCACTCCTCTCGCATCTCAACAATTCTTTCGCATCCATTCCTTCCTTTCATTACAATTATTAACATTTTTATTCAATATATTACATGTTATCATATGTTTCGGGCATTTATTATTCAAATAAAATATAATTACATAAAAATCAAAAGCAACAAAAATACGACTATTGTAACTGTACCAATATCAAATTAAAATAAATCATAACAAACAATATACATGTACATGTGTTAAATCAAATGTGAATTATTGTTTCTTTTGAGTAAATAAAAGTGCATTCAATATAATTATGCAAAAATATTTACCTTTAAATTAGGCCTTTTGTCCTGATATTGAATTTATAAATTAAATAATATGTAAATTGAGTATTGATTAAAATGATGATAATTTTAGAAAATGACAGAAAAACAATAAAATTGATGCAAAATTCTCATTGTAAAGACATGCGCTTCACGTGATCCATAGCGTTAACATTAGGCCATGTTATGTAAGTATTGTCATAGAGATAACGTAGGAATCTGTGCTAATTCTCAATAGGGAGGGGATGTGGGGTATATTGGGTGGTTCGAAACTTGGTGCTTATAAACGGCAATTTTTTTTCGAGGAATTGTGGCCAAAAAATTATATACCAATCGTTCAAATCAATTGATGTTTATTGAATGTATGCCTCGATTCCCAGTTCTCATTAAATTTATACTTTTTTATCATTTGTTTGTCAATTAAGCCATTCTTCAGGACTGTCTGTCTGTTAGGAAAAGTTGTTTAAAAGTTTTTGTTTTAGTTTTGAGAAAAACCAGAATTCACTAGAAATGAGTGGTTGTTTTGCCACATATTTATTTAGACAAAATGTAAATTACTTAACATTATATCAAATTAAAAAATAAGATTTGGTGACACTGTTTGGTGGCTAAAAAATAGCGTCAAATACAGTGTAACCCCTTTATTATAAACAACTTGAGGACAAAACAGTGATTCGGGTTAAACAGTGACGTCAACGCTGTAGTCGTATTTATGTAACGCAGTCTTCCCGTGCCTTCCGAGACCCTTATCGGCAAATAGTTTGGCCCCTAATCTCACATCAAATACAATATTAATTATATAGTAATTTAATTGTCATTTAAATTGCAAATTAATGCAAACCTTCAATAGATTCTTGAGCTATGATATGCTTTCCATTTTCAAACTCGTATTTCAAAGACTCTTCCAGTGATTTGCCGTCAAATGCGGCGAAATATGTGGACATTCGGTCCGCTTTGAGGCACTCTTGAGGCCATTGAGTTAAAGATTCGGCCAATTTGTAGGCCTGACCTAAAGCGGTGCCAATTGGGACCACTCTATTGGCCAAACCCATCGCTTGAGCCTCTTTCGCGTCGACGTTACGACCGGTCAGAATGAGATCCAACGCTCGCGACAGACCAATGAGTCTCTGGAGGCGAACGGTTCCGCCGTCGAGAAGAGGGACACCAAATCGGCGGCAAAACACACCCATAATTGCGTTCTCTTCGACAACTCGGAGATCGCATAAGAGGGCCAACTCTAGTCCGCCGGCGACCGCATAGCCATCGATGGCGCCGATGATTGGCTTCGTTGTCAACATCTGTGACGGACCCTAACGTGACGGACGGACACACGGATTGAGACTTCAATTAAAAAACATATAGCAATACATGTGTTGAGCGTTAAGACAAACCATTGGCCCGCGAGGGACCACTGAATCTCCAGAAGCGGGCAATTGTGACAACTCTTTGAGGTCATAACCGGCGCAAAACGTGCCGCCAATGCCGTGAAGTACTGCCGCCGCGGAAGTAGTGTCGGCCTCGAAGTCGGCGATCGCGCGAAGCAATTGTCTGGCGGTCTCTCTGTTGACACAATTCCTCACTTCGGGTCTATTGATACCAATTAGAGTGACTTCTTCGCGACGCTCGACGATCACCAAAGGCTTCCCATCACTCGA